CCCCAAAACCCCAAAACCCCAAAACCCCATTTAACGAGATAATATTGAGTAGTAATAATCTTAATATATCTGATGATGCAATCTCGTATCAACCTGCTTGATAGAACTAATATGTTGTTTATCCCAACTTCATTGGTTGTTTCTAGCCTTACAAAGGATTTATCTAAAGTTTCCTGTGAAGCAATTCATAATCAGAGCATATGAGGTAAGAGAGGAGTCAGACCAACAAGAGTCATTTAGCCTTTAAAAGTGAGCATAGCGAATGTATCCATTATACTAATTGACTCATTTAATTCTCTAAATGTCGTAATCTGGCTATATAATGGGCCTTTTTATTAAAATATCGATGACTCGAAAATTACGTCACTTCAAATATACACCAAAGTTTAGCTACTTTAATTTGATTTTTGAAAATAATATGGGATCAGGCTTTTCCTGTATCTTTTATTTTTACCAAAAATTTCTTGATTCAGAGTTTGCCTTGAGTTGGTATCAAAATTACACTAATTGATTTAGTTAAAATGATGTTATTAATAATTCATGTTTAGCAAAGACAAGATTTAATGAGGCTATTCATCCAATTATGGACAAAGACTCCATATTCGATACATCCTGTCACACCTTTCCTGATAACTCTTACCAAGGAATTGGGAATATCCCACTGCAAAATTTATCAGGGTTTACCCCATTTTGAGAAAAAGAGGTAAGTTAATCAAAGTTATAAGGAACTCTATTCTACAAAATAGAGGATAAGAATTTTGAATATTGTAACTTACTTTTTATCCGGGTTAAAACTGATGTTTACTCTTTAGACTATGCCAAGAATTGTTAGCATTGATCATCAGTCAGTGGTGCTGAGAGATAATTCCTCTTCGAACCAATCCCCAGAGATCCTATCTGCGACCCAAGATTTTTCAGATGACGTAATTTTTAAACTGCCAAAGAATTCAATGAAGCAGGGAAAAGGTCAACCAAAAATTAAAGGTAACATTATTAAACCTAAAAATGAGGGAAAAGGTAAGTTTGAATAGTTTAAAAGGCTGCAAAATATTTTTTACCTATCTTTATTATTCTTGTCTTGCTAGCAATGTCTCTTCTTTTATAGGAACTGATATATACACCTTAGTCACAATTTTTAAAAGTTTGACAAAGTTCTACCTAATTAAAAATTAAATTTATCAGCAACTAATATTTAAAGCCTAATTCACTTGAATTAGTAACTGATAATATTTAGGATCTCGAATAAAACCCTCTGCTAAATGGAAGAGCATTATACCACCCAGAAAAGGCAAGATCACTAGTGACAAGAGAGAAGACGTTCTTTACAAGATTCTTATTAGAGCAGTTAAAAGATTCTATTACCAAAAGTGTTGAGGTGAAAATCACTTGATAACCCATTTGTCAAAGAAGGATGAGACATTAGCCTTCGACAAAATTGATGCCATTGTTAATGAAAGATTCTCCACTTACTCCACTGTATCAGAGACTAGCAGCATTCCTAGTATTTCAGTGATTTACGATCCATCTTTTAAATTATCTGAAAATACCAATATACTTCTTGAGATAAAAGTGGTCTTAGCTAGCATTATTATAAGGAAGAACATGAAGAAATATATAAACAGATGAAATCTCAGAAGAATTTGTGAAAAATACTACCAAATTATTTACAAATATTCCTACAAAAGACTTGGGAATCTTCTCAATTCAAGATCAATAAAGCTGATTTTTCTAGACTTCTTTAAATCTGAAGACTTTAAGAGTATGCTAGAAGTTGATGAATCATTGGAGAGAGATAAAGAAGCGTATGAATATAGAGCCCAAAGAATTGTTAAGTATATTACCCAAATGGAATCTCAACAAGAAGCTTAAATTTTGACATTGGAATTATATCAAGGCAAACAAACAGACTTGGGATCTTTATCAATTTGCTAAAAAGAGTGTTTTATCAAATAATTTTAGATACGATTAGAATTTAAAAATCAAATCTTCACAAAGCTTGCTTATTATTTTATTTGAGCACAAAATATAGCATATCTTCTCTAAAATAAAGTTCGCAACAAAAGTTCGAACCAAATTTTCAGGAGAGACTAGTACCTTTACTTCTCACCTAATACTATTAGCATCAATATTCAACCCAGTTTAGGATTGAAGGGGTTTTGGGGTTTTGGGGTTTTGGGGTTTTGGGG